AGTAACACAGGAACCTAAAACCACCTCTAGCATTTGAGAGGCTAGAGGCTCTCCCACAAACCACTCACGTTCTGCTTAAACCCTCCCTTAACCTCACTCCCCAATATATACAACTAATAGCCTTTTATCTTCCTCTCAGTCATACAGCTCACACACTTCGTGCGATTTACTCTTGGCCCATTAAATAAGAGCCCGATAGCTATAGGCCTAACACGACCTCTTCAACCTTTATGACTCTTTTACTTGTTTGATCGTGATTCAGAGTGATCCCCAGTTCCCCACACCCACCCCCAAATGAAACGATGGGGGTAATGGAGAGAGAATTTCCATGATGATATTGATAGTCCTTTCAGTTCTGCTATATAACATTTGATCCACAAGCAGTAGCAACAATAGCTAAAACAAGTATATGGGAGTTAAAAACTTTTGGTATTTGATCATATGCGCAAAAAAAAAAAAAAGAAATTACATTTTCACTCACTGCCAGCTTTGTCTGAATCATCGAGTGATAATTGTATTTTGATTTAATTAGACCTTGTTCTCTTACCTGTAGTTAGCATCAATTGAAACATTGTGATTAAATTGGTCACTAATAATAGTCTCCATTTGGCAGACTTTTCTGAGAACAAACGCTATGGGAACACCAATAAGGGAAAGCTCCTAGGAATCGCTGTTGCTTCTGTTACAATAAACATGGGCATGATACTTATAATTTTTGGATTGATTAGATGTGTACGGAAAAGGAAACCCAAAAGGTCAGGTGAGCTTCAACATTTTCTAAGATCTGAGATAGGCACCCAGAAAGCACAGAAAAGGGATATGTTTTGTTATGGCAATTAATTTTTGGAATTCGTCATTTTACACCATTGCAGGGATGACAAAAATATATTATAGGAATCCTTACTACAATAACTTGAGAATGGAAGACACAGAACTACAAATATTTGATTTTTCAGTCATAGCTAAAGCCACTGATAATTTTTCAAGCACCAATAAACTGGGAGAAGGTGGTTTCGGATCAGTGTACAAGGTAATATAATATTTTCTTTTCTTTTTTTAAACCTGAAAGTGATATAACATTGTTCAAATAAGTGTATTTCAATTTTCTAAAGATTTCTAAGTATTCTATATGATGATTTGAAGGGCACTTTGGGACATGGACAAGAATTAGCCGTGAAAAGGCTATCTGAGAATTCTGTTCAAGGATTGGAAGAGTTTAGAAATGAAGTTTTGTTGATAGCCAAACTTCAACATCGTAACCTTGTGAAACTTCTTGGTTGCTGCATTGAAAGAGAAGAAAAACTGTTGATCTATGAATACATGCTGAACAAAAGTTTGGACCACTTTATTTTTGGTATGAACCTTTATAGGTTACACTTCAACATCTTTGGTAGTGCTCTGTTTTCTTTAGTTTTGAACACTAAGAACGTAGGAGTTATGCTAAACATGTCTCTCTAATTCAATAGATGAATCTAGAAACAAGTTGTTGGATTGGACAAAGCGTTTCCACATTATTAATGGCATTGCTCGTGGACTTCTCTACCTTCATGAAGATTCTAGATTGAGAGTTATTCATAGAGATATGAAAACTAGCAACATTTTATTAGATACAAATTTAAACCCAAAAATATCAGACTTTGGCCTAGCTCGAACATTTGGGGAGATCAAATTGACGCCAAAACAAAAAGGATAGCTGGAACATAGTAAGGTTTCCTTTTCATGATTCATTGTCCTATGTTACTGTATTTACATAAAACTTATTTCAACTTGCACTTTTTTTTTATAGTGGTTACATGCCTCCTGAATATGCTGTGCATGGACATTTCTCGATAAAATCAGATGTTTTCAGCTTTGGAGTGATAGTGCTAGAGATAATAAGTGGAAAGAAAAATAGAGAATTTTCAGATTTAGAAAACTTCTTGAATCTTCTTGGATATGTAAGTATAATGATTTGACTTCATACCTGACTCATCAAATCAGAATATGGCTTTTACCTTACTAACATGATTCCCACTCTTTCAGGCATGGAGACTATGGAGAGAAGGAATGGCGATGGAATTAATGGATCAAGCCTTAGGAGAGAGATTCAATCCATCTGAAGTCATACAATGCATACAAGTGGGCCTGTTATGTGTACAACAAATACCAGAAGATAGACCCGACATGTCGTCTGTGGTTCTAATGCTGAACGGAGAGAAATCATTGCCCGACCCTCATGTTCCTGCTTTCTACATTGAAAGGAGAATACCTGAAGCAGATTCTTCCTCGGAAAAATGCAAACCTTCCTCACCAAATGAAATGTCCCTTACAACATTCGAGGCAAGATAGTGCACATAATGGCTTTACTTTTCAGAATGGGATTCGTTGATTATTCTAAATCAAAAGAATATTCAGATGGTATAATCTCTCATGTTAGTCAGCCGATCTAATTCTTACCTGGTTGTTTTCATTTGCGTTATGAGCCACTTGTTAAGCAGGAAAAAATTTCTCTAAAGATTTTTCTGCATTTTTCCTAGCCAAGCTGATTGAGATGACAAAGGCTAGATTAATTCATGAACTTTGTTTTCTATAATTCACCTAAAAGTATTTATTTCCCAAGAAAATTGAACATAGGATCGTATGGCTTCCAATAGGAAGATGATACTTTAAAATCGACGCTGCTTTTTGCATATGTTGCAAGTTCAAGCTCCCATAGAGAGCTTCTAGGGCACCTTTATTGTTTCGATAGGGGCATATTCCCTGATGGAACAAGATTTTGTTTGTAAAGTTCAGAAGAGATTTGTCAGGTCAGCTTGAACTTTATAACAGTTGCCTGGAACTAAAAGAGAATCTGCGAAAGTGAAAGACTTGGTGTGGTGGCAACTCTTATTCTTGGAGTAAAATACATTCATCAGTAGAAAATCACTCTGATTGTGCTGTAAAAGAAGATTAAGTCCTAAAAAACTTCTTGACATTCTATATAAACATCTAAACCAGCAGTTGAACCCCCGCCTGACTAAACTCGTCGTTGTAAGGGACGATGAAGGCACATTAGTTGCTCCGGTTGTCTCAGGCTATTTCTACCTGAGCCAGAGCGGCATTGTACATAGGTTCTTAATCAAAACTTCAAAACATCAAAGAAATTGGCCGAGTCGCACTCAACGAGCATCAGAGTATCAGCCTATTCTAACAAATATGCTTCACAACTGCTACATGGAATGCCATCTACCGAGGATCAATTGGACTAATTCAACATCATTTATTCAAGATGATTTATATACGCTTGATGATGAACTGCCACCTACTAAATCTTTCAGTTAAAACCCAGGCATCTAAGGTTGAGGTGACGAGGATTCACTACTCAGAATTATAACTATGGACAACATGCTTGGCCTTCTATTCAGTCGCCAATTCATCCAAAACAGGTTGAATATACTCTTATATCAACAAAACTAAACATGAAGACCCAGTAACCCATTAATTAATTGATAGTGCAAAGAACCTCAACTATTATAATCTGACAATTAACATAATTCAATATCTGATGTTTGGCATGAAGGGGAAAAGACCAGTGCAATCAAAGCCAGAAACGTAGTAAAAAAATGGTTCAAAACTTGTTTTATTGGGATTTTCCTCGTATTGCTGCAGATTTTTGCCTGATTAGAGTTGTCCCTTAGCTTTTTAGCGACAAATTTTGGACTATCGATTGATTTTTCGCACTTCCAGGAATGAATGGTGTGTTACACAGTGGTAAGCTTCTCTGGTGGAAGTGTGTAACACATCTTTCTCTTTTGGATTGCGAGTATTAACCACTATGATGAATATTATTTTTCATATTTGTATTTTGGTAACGACAAAGAAGACTAGAGCAGAGACTTGTTGCAAGCGATAATGTCATTGTTTATGGAGGAAGCAGTCAATATCAACAGCGCAGGGGTGGGTTCTAAAGGCATAAATATGGCTGATAGGTTAGATAACTGTCATCTGGAGGGGCCATATTCATTGATATCGGAGTCTTTTTTTTTTTCCCCTCATTCACGTGCAGATCAGCAAAGGCTGGCCATACTTAGGATCTCTGTGACTTGTCACCGTTCCCAAATTAATGCACCGATTTCTTTGTACTGTAACAGGTTACACACACACACACACAATAGGGTTACATAAATGTCTTTTGTTAACTGTTCTTGGGAAGCAACTTGGAGGTCATATTTCAAATTCATGTTGACTATTTGCGACATAATATTTAAATGCTCTGTTTTACTCATCCAAACCAGAGTAAGCATTTTATTCCACAGGGCCGTGGTTTGCCACGGGAAAATTTTTAGAAAATTACGAGAAATAACGTCGTCTACTATAACTTGTGCGTATTTCAGCGTGTTATTCTAAAAAATTTTGAAACTACCAAATATGAGTAAGAGGATGATTTTGAAGATATTACGTCGATGGAGGGCAACGGTCGGGTCAAAAGAATGATAAGCCGACTGCAACCTAGTTGAAAATTTTATGTGAAGGGAAAGAAGACGTTAATTTGTTAAAGGTTTACGGAATGAAAAATTTCTTTCGCTGCCGGTCTATCCATATTTATTATGGTTCTAAACTGCGGAGACTTAGTCTCATGCTCGCGCGCGTCTCCTTTGAAAGAAAGAACAGACTCTTCTTGAAAGCATATATTCTGTCCCTCTTCATTTTGTTCTTCTTCCGCTAATTTAAGCTTTTTATTAGTAATTATCTAAACTGAAATGAAAATAAGAAGGGCAATAGGATATTAAAATTTAGGCTCGTTCTTCCTGAACCGATTGGATATATCTGGATCCTTGAATCAACAAATTCTGAGACTTTTGTAAGATATCTTATCTGCCAAAAAGTTAACTAGTGTTGACGTTTGGAGCTGGGGAAAACATACGACCAGTGAAAAGGGGAAGCATCAATGGTCAACAGGGATATAGTACTCCCATAGTCCCATTAAATGAAACCCCTTTCCACGGTAATTTTCTGACTCGGTCTCGCTATTCCCCTGTTTGAACCGGAAACAATCAACGCGACGCATTCATTTTAGTCTTCTACGATGAATGTGGCCTCCAAAGTAGTTGTTTTATCTCCTTAAAGTCCATTCCAATTCGAAGTTCGAATCACAAGCTAGAATATTCATCAAATTCTAGCTTTTAAATTCCCGCCAGTATCTCTTCAACAATTGCACCCGCCTAGCCATAAGAAAAACGATGGAAAGCTTCAGAAAGCTTTCTGTGTGTTTTTTGTTACTATGCTTCACAAGCATGTCCTCCACGCTGGACATGATAACCCCAGACCAACCCCTGCGTGATGGCCAGAATAAAAGTCTGGTTTCAGATAGGGGAATCTTCGAAGCTGGATTCTTCAACCTTGCAAATTCAAAAAGCCGTTACGTGGGAATTTGGTACAAAGACATTCGCGAAAAAACGATCGTATGGGTGGCCAACAGAGAAAACCCACTCCACAGTGCCTCAGGAGTTTTGCAGATAGACAGTGATAAAGGAGTTCTTAGAATCTTGGACAGCAAAGGGATCGAAACTTGGTCCTCGAATGCATCGCAACAAGCAGAGAACCCAGTTTTGCAGCTTTTGGATTCAGGAAACCTAGTTCTGAGAGATGAAAAGAACTTGAGCAGCATACTATGGCAGAGCTTTGATTATCCAGGCGATACTTTTCTCCCTGGTATGAAAATTAGAAGCGACATAAGGACAGGTAAGTATATGGGTCTGACTTCCTGGAAGTCACTGGAAGATCCTACCCCTGGTGAGTATTCTATGCACATAGATACTAAAGGCCTTCCTCAGCTAGTTGTCACAAAGGAAAACAAAATGACATACAGAGCAGGACCGTGGACTGGGCTTGGTTTTACGGGGACCCCTGAATTGAGAACCATCAAATCCGTGAAATTTATTTTTGAGCTAAGTAAAGATGAAGCCTCCTATGAATATACTGTTCTGAAGAATGCAACTCTAATGAGAAGCAGACTGACGCCACAAGGATATCCACTACGTTTGACATGGTCTTCTCAGGAAAATAAATGGGAATATTTCTACCCTAGCCAGTTCGATCAGTGTGAAAGCTATGCCTTGTGTGGTCCAAATACTAATTGCACCGGCGGCACTGACCCTAATTGTAAATGCTTGACCGGATACACAGCAAGCACGTCTGGTGGGTGTGTTCGAACTACTCGACTTGGATGTGGAAGAGGAGATAGCTTTCAAAAGTACCAAAGGATGAAATTGCCGGACACATCTGCTTCCTGGTACAACACTACCATGAGTTTGCAGGAATGTGAAAAACTATGTTTGAGAAACTGCACTTGCGCGGCATATTCTAATTTGAACATCAGTGATGGAGGAAGTGGCTGCTTGCACTGGTTTAATAACATTGTCGACTTGAGAGAACTCAAAGAGGGAGGACAAGACTTCTACATTCGAGTATCTGCAGTTTCAGGCCTAGGTATGTGCGTATTATTCATATAATATTGTGTTTCTCGATAGCATGCTCGTGTGTGGATTATATTCAGAAGATCTCAGATTCTGCAGTGAAAAATGGCATGGACAAGAGGAGGCTTGCAGGAATTGTGATAGGCTGCGCTACATTAATCATCAGCATAGTAATACTCGGATTGATAATTAGGAAGAAGCTCATGCATCCAGGTGATCAATTCATGACCACTAGATTGCGTTTTTTTTTTTTTTCCCTTTCAAGAAATGATGACTAGATTTGGAATATCTGTGATCTCATACTTTTAGCAGGAGAACTTATATGTAACTTTATGACAAGATTAATATTTCATTTTTCAATTAAAATAAGGCGAGTACATATAAGTTTAATAATATGACAGGTGAGTGGGATTTTGTGGTTGTGGTTAAGTCTGAGGTCTTTTACCACTTAGAATCATTGATTGAATGTTTTGAAAAAATGTTTAAATATTTTATAATTTTATTGAAAATCTTGATGGCAAATATACAGAGAAGAGAACCTAAGTCTAAACATTTTTAACGCGCACGCAAACACATACATTCTGCCTTTAGATTTGGTAGTTCTTATTTGTTCAATAATCAATTATATAAAGAACTCACCCTCCGGCCACCATTTCAGGGAAAGCAATTTATTGGAGGGACAAGAATGACAAAGAAGACATTGATTTGCCAATATTTGAATTTTCAACCATTTCTAATGCCACAGATCAATTTTCAGAGAGGAATAAGTTGGGACAAGGTGGTTTTGGACCGGTGTACAAGGTAACAGATCTATAATTGACCAAGTATTTCTTTTCCTGAATCACCAAACTTTTAATTTTCACAAAAATGTTGCACAGGGCGTACTAGTAGATGGACAAGAGATTGCAGTAAAGAGACTCTCCAAAACATCAGGACAAGGAATGGATGAGTTTAAAAACGAAGTTTTATTGATTGCAAAACTCCAACACCGCAATCTTGTAAAGCTTCTTGGTTGTTCTATTCAACAGGGAGAAAAGTTGTTGATTTATGAATTCATGCTTAATGGAAGCTTAGACTACTTTATTTTTAGTATGAACTCTATACACTCTGTGGCTTTTATATCACTAATTTTAATCAATTTTATTTAGTAGTTTCCATGCTAACTTGAAAGGTGAAATATGTCAGATTCAACAAAAACTAAGCTACTAGATTGGACTAAACGATTTCATATTATTGATGGGATTGCTCGAGGCCTTCTCTATCTTCATCAAGATTCAAGATTGCGAATAATCCATAGAGATCTTAAAACCAGCAACATTCTTCTTGATATTAATATGAATCCAAAAATATCAGACTTTGGACTTGCTAGAATTTTTGGAGGAGATCAAGCTGAGGCCAACACAAATAGAGTGATGGGAACATAGTATGTATTTAATTAATTTGTTTTTTTTTTGGTGCAAACCCTTTTAACTTCTCTTTTCTTTATTATATTACAGTGGTTATATGCCTCCAGAATATGCAGTGCATGGATCTTTTTCTGACAAATCTGATGTCTTTAGTTTTGGAGTAATGGTATTAGAGATAATAAGTGGGAAGAAGAATAGGGGATTTTGCGATCCACATTATCGTCTTAACCTTCTGGGACATGTAGGTTTGATGAATAAGTTCCTTCAGTTGCAACTAATTATGAGAATTATACTTCTCATTTGTTTGTGGCTATTGTTTTCCTTTTCAGGCATGGAAACTATGGATTGAAAAAAGACCCATGGACCTAATGGATGAACAACTGCAAGATTCAGTTATTTCATCCGAGCTGTTAAGATGTATTCAGGTGGGTCTATTATGTGTGCAACAAAGACCGGAGGATAGACCCAACATGTCCACTGTGATTTTAATGTTGAATGGTGAAAAGTCACTTCCTAATCCAGGAGAGCCTGGGTTCTACATTGGAAGTGATAATCAACCCTTAGCAGATTCTACTATAAGAAGCAGCGGAGAGTGTTCAATTAATGAAGCTTCCAACTCAACATTAGAGCCAAGATAGAATGCCAAAACAAGCTTGAACCTTCCTATGTCTCAAATTCCATGTAATGTCTCCAAATAAATTTAATTTCCATAAGCTGATGAAAACGAAGAGGTCGATGACATTAGGGGCGCGCAACAAGTCCATCAAATTGATGTTTATATAATGTCAGTGTGCAATGAATGTGATAGCTTATAATGCATCATTTTGTGTAATTATACCTGACGTTGGAAGAAGCATATGCTGGTTCTACCAAAAATTGATGATACATTCACAGCTGCATGAGCTATAACACGTCAAGACTAGTGAAATTACAAGAGCCAAAAAAAAGAAGAAGAAAGAAACAGAGAGAGGTCCTATAAAGTTGATAGCCAAAATCTGAAAAAATCTCTTGATTAAATTCACAGTATTAGGAAGTTCAGTGACTCTAATCAATTGTAATTTGGGAACCAACGTAAATAACTCGGACCCAAGTTAGAAATAGATGAAGAGGTGAAAGAGGAGTACCTCAGGTTGGGCAATTTGAGCAATCAAGCCACTTATGGATCCCATTGACATCCATCAATCTTTTCGAAATAAATATGGATTGGGATGAGTGAATTAAACAGCAAGGTACACGCTTGTTGTGGAGGCAAAGGAGGTTGGGAAACAAAGACATGTAAAGCGATGATGCTTACAGAACAACCTGTCAAGGTCAATATAGGATAATGACAGGTTAATCAATTTTAATGCAAGGCATAATTATACAAGGCTCACATCATTGGTGTAATTAATCGCGAGGGGCCATTCGTTGATGTTGAAGTACTGTTACTTCACATGCAGAGCCAAGCAAACGCTGTGGGTAACTGATGTAATTAAGAGCCTTGTTATATGTCAGTGCTCACAGGTTAATGCGTCAATTTCTTTTTAATAGCAATGACGGCAAGCAGTACGTCGTAGCAATATTGCGAGCTTAGTGCAGCAAAATGTTTTTGCCAATACATCTTATTTAGCTTAATGCAGCAAAAAGAAGTTAACTTTTTTCTCTTTGGAACAAAGAAAGAAGTCAGGTAGAACCGTACAAGGAGCTAAAGAGATGGATGGACATTAAAAATTCAAAGGGACTTTGTAACAAGCAGTATAAGAGTGCTCAGATTCATAATAGAATTGCAGAAAGGAATGAATGGGGAAAATGACATGCTTAGATCACATACCATAATACGACGTAATCGGCTATAGATGGATGAACAGGCACAGTCACAATCAAAGGCACAGAAAGAGGCCATTATTGTGGATTTGGATCGATCTGAGGTTGCCAAGATGTGGGAGGGAGCAGTAATCAGCTCAGACAAAGTAATGGTGAGTACGAAGTTTAACCACTTTTGCCACCTAAACCCATACTTGCTTCCATTAACCCCCCGACATTCCTAATCCCGTCCATTATAATCCATCTTAATTAGTTTCATTTTCAAATACTACTTATTAGTATCTATTATGTTTATTTAATTAGTTTCATTATCCATAATTATTTTAGCTTATTAATCTTCTTTATAATGACATATAGCGCAAGTCTATTAGGATTTCTTTTATTCTGGTTTTACTTCTTTATAATAACTAGCACGTGCTATCTCGCACGATGCGCGAGATGCATTAACTTCACATATTTAATCTTGAGATTTAGACACAACATAATTAATATTTTCACCAAACAAAAAGATCAATTCAAAAAATGATTGACCTACTACCAAAAAAAAAGTTCTTCACAGGTAAAAAAAAGACTTCCCTGTAAAAAAGTGTTGTTAGTTATATTCTAGATTAAAAATCCAAAAAATGCTTATAAATAGAAAAATCAGTCAGAAAAAATGTAAAAATATCTCAAATTGTTTTATAAAATAATTCAATGTAAGATTATTTTATTTATGATAATCAACGGGTTCAGTTGGCCTACACTATAGCCCCACGACATAAAGAAAAAAAATTCTACAATATATTGGGCTCAACCCGCAATGCAAGTAGGCAACTTCTTTATTGAGAGATGAGCTAAGAAACTAACTAAACGACAATATTCATTTATCAAATTTTTGACCCAACATACCCCTCATCCGTGGGTTCAGCAGGTGAAGAGGTCAGACACCCTCACTAAGAGAGCAGGTTCGATCCTGGATCATGTCGCGGCGCTGGGGGAGGCATCTCCAAAGCTAAGGCCTCATAGTTTGTAAAAAAACCTTTCAGTGGGGCCCCAGTTGCTACGGCGTTGGGTTGAGTTGGGGTCAAGAGTTATATGCCCTGCCTTTAGATCGTAGGTGAGTCCAATCCCTTTTTAAAATCTTGTCACCAAAAAAAAATTTTTTTTTACTCAACATACCTCGTAGCTGTTCTGTGATAAAAAAAAAACAAATAATTCAAGCTAATATGAAATACCGAACAATACCACTGTGCATTTTTCATGTTCATGAGGTCTGACATTGCTTAAGACCTATAATTTTTCAATCATTAAGGTCTAATATTTTGCATTTATTATATACCAATCCAAGTCAAGAATGGAAAATCGCATTTTTCCTGAATAGAGAAAATAAAATAAATGGATGGCACAAAAAAAGAGATAAAATAAAATAAATAAAAATATAACATCTGTAGGTTTTGTTTTTATAGAGTTGCACAAAACAATATCAAATCATTCTTACTTTATTGAGGACAACCTCTAAAATTTTTGGGGCGGGGGGGGGGGAGGAACTGATGAATTTAAAAAGCTCCTTCTTTTCTTTTTTTTTTTGGTGAACAGCTCTTTCTTTCCTACTAGATCAACCTCTGCAAATAAAAATATGAAACAAAAGATACATGAATTTAACATATGACGAATTCACCAATTATTTATTAGGTAGCTTTTACGGGGAAAAAAAACCGTGGCAATGGTTTAATTAGGCTAAATAAAAAAAATTATGAATTCAACTCTAAACAAATTCCTTCACCTCTCCACGTGAACGGACTTCCCAATAAACTGAGGACTACCAGCCTACCATGCCTTAATGATATTTGTAAGTCTTACACAACAACTACCCAACCTATTTCATATTGCTACAGTTTATCAGCAAACAAACTCTGATAGACTTATATTTCATAAATTTAAAAGCAAGGAATATATGAGCAAATGTAAGGAAAATCTAATTTACATGTCTGCTTGATGCTGCATTTCAAAGAGAACATTGATTACAAATACCAAACCCATAATCCGACCTATGTCATATGATAAATTTTCAATTTTTAAACCTCTTATATGCTTCTTTTTTAGGAAAAAATAAAACATGTGATGCATATTTTTTTTCTTACCGTCATTCATATAAATCATCTTATAAAATTTAAAATATATACATATATTTTGTATTTAATTTTTAAACTCGAAAAACATCAAAATGAAAAAAAAATGAAGTTTAAATTTGTACATTTCAGAATTTCTATTAAACGGAGCATTGCCGGCTAAAGGGGCAGTTGGGCACGCACGTTAATAATACGGGCACGTCAAATTGGACTAGCTGGTAGACAAGTATCTTAGGTTAGGTTATTGGGACTTTAGGAATGTGAGCAAATGCATTACATTGACGCTTGTAGTGAGATCATTCCATTAATTGGGAAAAAAAAAACCATCAATGACCATTGAAAATTAAGAACCATTTATTCTCATATTTCTCAAGTGATATAACATATTTAGGTGAGTAATTAATTAAAAAGTGCCTCATGATTTTAAACGGAGGGAGAATAGAAAGGGCATTTATTTTTCATATTAATAATATTAATTAGAGATAAAAATGAAATTTATATTTAATGGCATAGCTAATTTTTTAATTGAGGTAAAAATAAAATGTTACTTATAATTTTGGATCGGAGTGAGTAAGTTTTGTCCACAATATATACCAGAAAAATTTTTACTTTCACAGTTATTTAAACATCATCCAGAAAACTTTTGAGATGCTTATTGCAAGAAGCGGTAATTGAAATTTCTCTTTCTTTACCAGCACAGTAACTGAAATTTATAAGAAGAAACATTGTATAAAAAAATTTATAAACAAAAAGTGTTCTTTGATTACTAAAAAAAGAAAGTCACAACACGCGGCTATATTCACCGCGTCAGTTGTTATTAACTTTTGCGGCCACTGTCTACTGTCAAGTTGACAACTTAACCAAAGTAGAGAACTTTCGCCAAGTTCATCTTTTTACCCGTAGCGTGAAGTGAAACTTCCGATTGTCCCACTTGCACAATTACTCGTGGACGTTTTTATCCTTCACGACCTTCTGCGAAAGCCATGGGCAAATTCTGGACTCTCAAAAAGAGACGAGTAATTAGCTTCTCCTGACCTGTAACTTAGTTGTCTCCCGCGGTTTGTCCTTGAAATCCCGATTCTTTTCTCTCTTCCCCTCTTATATATTTCTTTCCTTACTCTTCCTCATTTATCTCTCGCCTCTCTCCATCTCTCTGCTTCTTAGCATCTGAGTCTGTTTTTTTAAACTATGGCATCTCAAAACCCAGAAATTAATTTCCAGGATTACTTGCCTATTATGGCCAACAAACGGGGTGGAGATGGCTTGATAGAAGAACTGTGTAATGGGTTTAATCTATTAATGGATTCTGATAAAGGGGTCATCACTTTCGACAGCCTCAAGAGGAATTCCGCTTTGCTGGGGCTACAGGATTTTGCCGATGAGGATCTTCGCTCCATGTTGAGAGAGGGTGATTTTGACGGTGATGGCGCCCTGAATCAGTTAGAATTCTGCGTTTTGATGTTCAGATTGAGTCCTGAGCTTATGGAGGGATCAAAATTGTGGTTACAGGAAGTCCTTCAGCAAGAACTCAAAGATTATGTCTGATTTTACCCCATCTTTCTTCCATTTTAATTTGTCTATTTAAGGCAATTGCCCGTTTAGTTGTAACCAAAAAGAAAGAAATGAAATCGAACAAATTATTCATTTGATTTTTCCTTGATATCCTTCGCTATTATGCCAGTGTACCAGCCAAACGCAATTGTTTTCTTTGACCATTTCGAGGATTGGCATCTGTTTGTGCTTGTTGTTCAAACCTTACACACTTCTTTAATTCTTTTATATCTGAACTGGTTATGATTCCGTCCAGTTTAGTTGTAACTAAAAGAGTGGACTAGGTGAAAATGTGAGTCTTCTTGGTGTCATTATTGGGCTTCACGGTTCGTTAGGTACGCGTCGCTGCTAGTAGAGAAAACAGAGGACTTGGTGGACTTTGGTAGCACATTCATTCTCTTTATTGACTTTGATCTCTTCCGCCTGTGACTTATGGACCTACCTCTATCATAAAGATATTTATGGAAGTATCATTTTAAGGAAGCAGTAGTATTACAAAATATAATTTTCAAAGGCGTGTTTCTGCGGATAAGGTTGCCCCTGTTCCCATTCATGCTTGACTTCACCTAAAAGCTAAAACAAGGATGCAGGGCGAGTGTGAACATCGTGACTTATACAGGAATATCCTTTTATTTCCATTTTTATAATAGCTGCCGGGAGAAGGAGACCGGGTTTCTATGTCATGTTGCCTTTTTTTTTTTTTTTTTTGACCTGGAACTTTGTTATGTTGCTGGGAACTTGGAAGTTGACGTACATTTGAGTCTAACAAGGTTTCTTTTCCTATTACATGCGGACCAATAATATATAAGACTTTGCAAACGGTTCGCAAGAAATCTGATTTTTCAGCAGACGGCGATATATTATGAAGGTTGCGTGATGTTTTTGGTCTGCACTGCAACTTCTTTTTTCCTCTTTGAGCGAAATCTTTGAGGAAAAAACAAAAATCGTATACAGTCCACTTCCTTACGTAATACTTGTCTCAATTGCTGATCAAAATGGGTCTTTGAAATGGAGCTTCGAGGTTGGCAATCGATGACAAATCTTCTTTATGTGCTCTCCATTGCCCAGTTTTTATCTCTGCTCTCTCACACTTCAAGTGCTGCTGACCACCTGACCCAATCTCAGTCAATATCCGGAGGCAAGACCCTAGTTTCTGGAGATGGAAGTTTTGAATTGGGCTTCTTCAGTCTAGGTGGTTCAGAAAAGCTCTACTTGGGAGGATGGTACAAGAAAATCCCCGTCAAAACTACTGTGTGGGTTGCCAATCGGGAAAATCCAGTCAAAGACAAGTCTGGCGTGTTGAAATTAGACAGACAGGGGAACCTCGTGCTTCTCAGCCAAAACAAGACCGTTGTTTGGTCAGCAAATCCCGCGAGAAAGGTCCTGAACCCAATTGTTCAGCTTCTTGGTTCGGGAAATCTAGTATTGAGAGATGAGAAAGACGAGAATCCAGAAAATTACTTGTGGCAGAGCTTTGATTACCCTTCTGATACATTGTTGCCTGGAATGAAGTTAGGGTGGGATCTAAAAACTGGGCTGAACCGGACTCTAACTTCTTGGAAGAGTTGGGACGACCCTTCTTCCGGAGACTTTACCTGGGGACTTGTATTTAATGGTTACCCCGAAGTGGTGATGTGGAAGGGTTCGTCAGAGTACTACAGAAGTGGACCCTGGAATGGCCATAGGTTCGATGGTGCCCCAGCATTAAGGAACAATCCTCTTTTCGGCTTCGATTTTTTCTCCACTGAGGATCAGTTGTATTATACCTTTTACCTCAAGAATAAGTCAATGATTTCAAGAATAGTCCTCAACCAAACCGTTTATTCTCGGCAGCGCTTCATATGGATCGAAGAGGCTCAAAGTTGGAGGCTTTCTGCATCTGTTCCAAGAGACAACTGTGATGACTATAATCTTTGTGGCCCTTATGGAAATTGTGTCACGGGTGAGTCTCCAGTGTGCCAGTGTTTAAGTGGGTTTAAGCCCAAATCACCACAGAGCTGGGATATGATGGACTGGACTCAAGGGTGCGTACGCAGTCAACCATTAAGCTGCGAGGACAAGAATAAAACAGGATTCAATAAATTTAGCGGGCTGAAGTATCCTGATTCTATGCATTCTTGGGTCAATAGGAGTATGAATCTTCAAGAATGTATGGAGATGTGCTTGGGAAACTGTTCTTGTACAGCTTATGCAAACTCAGATATCAGAGGAGGAGGTAGTGGATGTATTTTGTGGTTTGGTGACCTCATGGATATCAGAAAGATTCCTGGTGACAGTCGAGATCTATATATTCGGATGAAAACTTCTGAGATAGGTAAGCTCCTGATCTTTCTTTAGACTTTGGCTTTTGATATTGTAACAAGTCACGAGGGAGCAATACTTGATGATTTTTATATACGTACTATAGCCACAATTTAATGCTTTATTTTTATTTTTTTTTTCCTTGATCAACTCAATATTTCTTTGACAAATGATGAAGCTGTGAAAGACGGACATAAGATGAAGGTGGCTGCGATTATCATCGTTGTTGCTTCAGTTGTTGTGATAATTTTGATTTTGTTCTACATTGGCAAGACCATGAAACTGTTCACAGGATTATATTCAGAAGATCTCAAATTTTACAGTGAAAAATGGCGTGGACAAGAGGAGGCTTGCAGGAATTGTGATCGGCTGCGCTGTATTAATCATGAGCATAGTAATACTCGGATTAATAATTAGGAAGAAGCTCATGCATCCAGGTGATGAATTCATGACCACTAGAGTGCGTGTTTCTTTTCCTTTTCAGGAAATGATGACTAGATTTGAAATCTCTATGATCTCAAGTTTTTAGCGGGAAAACTTATATGCAACTTTTTTATGACATGATTACTATTTCATTTTCAATTAAAATAAGGCAAGTACATATAAGTTTAATAACATGACATGTGAATGGGTTTTGTGATTGTGGTTAAGTCTGAGGTCTTTTACCACTTAGAATCATTGATTGAATGTTTGAAAAAATGTTTAAATATTTTATAATTTTATTGAACATCTTGATGGCAAATATACAGAGAAGAGAACCTAAGTCTAAACATTTTAACACACACACGCACATTCTGCCTTTAGATTTGGTAGTTCTTATTTGTCAATAATCAATTATATAAAGAACTCACCCTCCGGCCACCATTTCAGGGAAAGCAATTTATTGGAGGGACCAGAATGACAAAGAAGACTTTGATTTGCCAATATTTGAATTTTCAACCATTTCTAATGCCACAGATCAATTTTCGGAGAGGAATAAATTGGGACAAGGTGGTTTTGGACCGGTGTACAAGGTGACAAATCTATAGTTGACCAAGGTATTCCTTTCCTAAACCACCAACCTTTAACTTCCACAAACTGTTGCACAGGGTGCACTAGCAGATGGACAAGAGATTGCAGTAAAGAGGCTCTCCAAAACATCAGGACAAGGAATGGATGAGTTTAAAAACGAAGTTTTATTGATTGCAAAACTCCAACACCGCAATCTTGTAAAGCTTCTTGGTTGTTCTATTCAACAGGGAGAAAGTTGTTGATTTATGAATTCATGCTAATGGAAGCTTAGACTACTTTATTTTTAGTATGAACTCTATACACTCTGTGGCTTTTATATCACTAATTTTAATCAATTTTATTTAGTAGTTTCCATGCTAACTTGAAAGGTGAAATATGTCAGATTCAACAAAAACTAAACTACTAGATTGGGGTAAACGATTCCATATTATTGATGGGATTGCTCGAGGCATTCTCTATCTTCATCAAGATTCAAGATTGCGAATAATTCATAGAGATCTCAAAACCAGCAACATTCTTCTTGATATTAATATGAATCCAAAAATATCAGACTTTGGATTAGCCAGAATTTTTGGAGGAGATCAAGCCGAGGCCAACACAAATAGAGTGATGGGAACATAGTATGTATTTAATTAATTTGTTTTTTTTTCTTGGTGCAAACCCTTTTGACTTCTCTTTTCTTTATTATATTACAGTGGTTATATGCCTCCAGAATATGCAGTGCATGGATCTTTTTCTGACAAATCTGATGTCTTTAGTTTTGGAGTAATGGTATTAGAGATAATAAGTGGAAAGAAGAATAGGGGATTTTGCGATCCACATTACCGTCTTAACCTTCTGGGACATGTAGGTTTCATGAGTAAGTTTCTTAATTGCAACTAATTATGAGAATTATACGACTCATTTGTTTGTGACTATTGTTTTCCTTTTCAGGCATGGAAACTATGGATTGAAAAAAGACCATGGACCTAATGGATGAACAACTGCAAGATTCAGTTATTTCATCCGAGCTGTTAAGATGTATTCAGGTGGGTCTATTATGTGTGCAGCAAAGACCGGAGGATAGACCCAACATGTCCACTGTGATTTTAATGTTGAATGGTGAAAAGTCACTTCCTAATCCAGGAGACCTGGGTTCTACATTGGAAGTGATAATCAACCCTTAGCAGATTCTACTATCAGAAGCAGCGGAGAGTGTTCAATTAACGAAGCTTCCAACTCAACATTAGAGCCAAGATAGAATGCCGAAACAAGCTTGAACCTTCCTATGTCTCAATTTCCATGTAATGTCTTAAAATAAATTTAATTTCCATAACCTGATGAAAATGAAGATGTCGATGATATTAGGGGCTCACAGCAAGTCCATCAAATTGGTGTTTATATAATGTCAGTGTCCAATTAATGTGATAACATATAATGCATCATTTCGTGTGTTTATAAGCTCTCATTCTATCAAAAAAATTGATGATACATTCACAGCTGCATGAGTTCTAAACACGTCAAGACTGGTGAAATTACAAGAGCAAAAAACAGAGAGAAAGAGATCCTATAAATCTGATAACCAAATCTTAGTACAAAATGAATTTTGATTGCTGAATTCAACAAAATGAAAAATCTCTTGATTAAATTCATAGTATTAGGAAGTTCAGTGACTCTAATCAATTGTAATTTAGGAACCAACG